TATGTATATATTTATCAGTCTGGCGAGTAAACAAAAAAATTTACTAGCCAATGGCGATTCAATTGCCAAGGTGTTCGTAGAGGGCTGACATAATATATATAGTACACATATTAATAACATATGTATTACTATATATTAATATATATATAGTACACATATATATAGTACATATATTGTAAAAAATGAAATATAATTAGTAACAATAACAATAATGTAACAGTAAAATAGTATATTTGATACTTTAAACATGTAATTCATACCATAATATGAAATTTAGGTCATACCGCCCACTTAATGCACAGCAAATTTATTCAGAGTAACTTGATTAATTTAGAATTCTATCATTATAATTATTAAACTGCTATTTTTTGTTCTTAATTAAAACAGAACATCTCAAAGGGTTTTAGAGCAGATCAAATATTTAAGACTTCTTTCTACTTCATGTTTCTGGGCTCCTGCCTGAAAGAGACAAGAGCATCAAATGCTGTACTGAACTGTACCGAATGCAGTACAAGGCAGGGCCTCTCTGACATTTGAAGACGATTCCCTTAACAGTAGTAGTAAAGTAATGCCGTTTTACCCCAGTGCCAGTTGCCTTTCTTGAAGCCCTGGGGATTCACCTCACTCCTGTTTTTAACAGTACTGTCCCCTTAGAGAGAGAGAAGGAAGTTAAACACCACCACCATCATCAGCCTGGCCAAGAGCTCGGCTCTACACCGCACTGGCCCTGGCATGACAGCCATCTCTCACACACACACACACACACACACACACACACACACACATGGTCTGGAACTCTGGAGTCTACCTTTGAATCATAGGAGTTCTGAGACCGACTCTGGACTTTTAGTTCCAATTTCGATACATGAAGTACTTCCCAAAAATGGGAGTGATGTAGGGTGCAGTTCGGGTTGGCGTTCAGCCTGGCTGTTGCGTACAGATCCATGAACGTGAACAAAAACATGAACTAGCACACTATGTACGAATGGGGGGGAGGGGAGGACAGAGGGCGCGATCTGTGATGTCATTATACACAAGACAGTGTTGTGGGCTGCAGGAGCTGATATGTCAGAACAGAGTCCTCAAGGGAAATTTTTAAAGAAAAGAAAACAGGAACAGAGAAAGACAGCGTACCCATGAGTGTTAAGAGTGTTAGGGACATAGCCGAAAGATGTGGTACAGGGTTAAAATGACAAGCACAACGGCAGCTCCTTGTGAGTGCGACCACAACCCCACATGACAGCATATCCAGGTTCATTTTATCAAATAACACTTTCAAAACATCTCAGGCTTTTGTATGTACAACATATATACAAACATGCTTTCTTTACACACCATCATTCCAAAAAGCTGAATTGCGACACATTGTCATGTTTAAGACGAGGTTAAAGGACATTAAGACTTACTGCAGGTGCCCCCACTGAACATGGGCAGAGTCTGGAAAACCATTTTATGGAACAGGAGAGCAACGGGTTTATATTCCAGCTTGTTCTTCAGCAGGTAGCTGTAGTAATACACATACCTGCGCTGGCTGGGAATGGTGACCCCCTGAAAAAGAAAAAGGAAAATGGCTTAGTAACTTACACAGAAGTACTTGGCAATGCAATCTAGCTGTGTTACCTCATCATCGACGCAAAATCATAAATAGAATGCAGATCCAGTGTTAATTTTGACAGCAATTTTTAATTTAGTTTTAGTCATAGTCTTTTGACTAAAATGCCATTTAGTTTGTGTCATATTTTAGTCATCTTAATTGTTTTTAGTTTTAGTCGACTAAATCTACAATAAATTTAGTCGGCTAAAATCTAATGGGTTTAGTTACAGTGCATTTATTAAGCATTTCTCTAAAATTTCCAAACTCATTCTATAGGTTTGATATTAAGGTTTTATCATGACAGACACCGATTTAACTGCGGTGACACACAACATGCATTTATATTCAAATTAAATAAAACCACTTCTCATAAAGAACAAGAACATGGTCTTCTTTTTAATGAAATACCAATGGTTATATAGGCTAATTATGCATTCTTTATAGCAACTTGTTTACCATATTCTTCATTCTTTCAAGCAGACATATTTATTCTATAAATAAATTTAGATTAATCTTTAAGGCTACTAAAGTTTTTCAGTCAAAAGCAGTGCGTGATTTTCTGTCTTACTTTTGTTGCTTGATTAACATCAATGACTACGTTTACATGGACATCAGTAATCTAATTATTTACCTTACTCTAAATAAGCCAATATTATGATTATGGTGTTTACATGAGTTGCTTTTAGAATATTTCTTTCATGTTCCCGTTTTACATGTTTACATTTACAATAGTATAGTTTGATTAATGGCACACGTCATTACTTCCCCACATGAAGCCATCCAACATCCCCTCTGGAATTTCACATATAAATATATAGTTCGTATTCGTGATGATGCCATGTACAGTTTTGGGTCTTTCATTTTTAATTTTATGAAAGCTTCAAGTGCAGTTAATTATTTGTATGTGCATACAGACGATGGCAGTGTTGAAGCCCTTTAATTTGCCGTCAAACGGTTGACCACTGCAGTGTGTGTATCCTGTCGCAAAATGCGGCAAAAAGTCCTACACAATGGTAATAATGTGATTAAGCTGTCTATTCGGCACTTCAGTAATGCGACTAAAACAGGAATACTCCACATGTCTTAATTCGATTTCTGTTTACTTCGAATATGACTTATATCGAAATTAGGCTGCTATCCCTTTAAAACCGAATGCACAGCTGCAATGGATGCAATGTACTGATTTACATCATAGTTTTTGTCATTCAAAAAGAGTTTTAGTTCGTTATGGTCTCATTGTCGTCGGTAAAAAAAAAAATGTCGTTGACGAAAATTAGGACGAAAATTATTCGTCAACGAAATTAACACAGTGCAGAACCAAACCGTTGTACCTTTTTATCTCTGGTCCTGACTTCCCCATAAAAGTCCAGTGCCTCTTGTGCCTCTGAGAACTTCCTGCGATGCAACAGGTAGGCGCATATCATGACCCCTGTGCGGCCTTTGCCTGCCTTGCAGTGGATAGCCGCCACATGGTTCTCGTCTTCGGACAGCCACTGGTCGAGATCCTCGCAGAAGGGTTTTATTAATTCCAACTGTGGCGGGTTATGGTCCTCGAAGGGATATTGAGCCACTAAAGACAAAAAAAGTTCAGATTCAGTACTCGGTACTAAAATCACATTTAGAATCACCTTTATAGTCCTTCAGAATAGGTCTAAGAATGAGAACGTAATGATCGAGATTACACCGGTACTGATATCATGAAATATTGGTATGTTAATACTACACATATAATAATATGTTAAATAATCTGGTTGACAATCAAACAAAGTAGGTGGCAAAACTGGACTCTAATGCAAGTTGCCACCTGTCATGAAACAGAAAAAAGACAAAAAAATTATGCAGCACGTAGCTACTACTGAGACACAAAATCATGTCGGAAGAGATGACGAAAGCAAGACACACTACCGGCATCTGAAAAAATGTTGCTCTCCGATGTGGGAGTTTTTTGGATCTTGTATAAAAACGAGATGTTAGACAACTTGTTCTGAAGGAAGTGTTGATAAGCAGTTATTTTGTATGATTTCTGTAGCCTCGCTTCAGTCATACTTTGAAGGCAAACCATAGGCAAGAAAAGAAAAAGAAAAAAGTAAAAAATGTTAAATATTTAATACCATTATTGTGAATTCTTTTGGCCACAAAAATCATGTAATAAAAATATGCTACTGTGAATGGTCACTAACTAAAACAGACATCAAACCAGTTTTTAATAAACAGCAGAACTAATTTTTAACGGTTTCATGTTAGGAAAGACTTGACACCAAAGTGTTATTGCTTGTCACTGCATGTGATTAGCACAAAAATCTTTACTTAACAACTTCCCATCAATAATCATCAATACCAAACCATCTCATTGAACAACTGAAGCAGACACTGAAATCAGTATGATCAGTTATATGTATTGTTTAATATCAACTGCGAACTTAAGAAAAAAAGTGAATGTTAATGTGCCACCCCTCATCACTTTCTAAAATCCTGTATCATAAGTCTGAATCTACAAAAAATTCTGTGCTTTATCACACACAAGGCGATTTGTAGTCGATTCTGACCACCCAAAATCTGTAGACTGGCTATGACTTTCCGCAATTAGCGCCGACTCCTCCAGACTGCAAATCTGGGAAAAACTTGTGTATTGTATTTCAGCTTTAAAAATCAAATGGACCTGTTTATGTCAACTAAAAGAAAAGAGCTTATATCTTTCATTCAGGTGTAATTAAAGAGACACTGCGGTGAAGTACTTATGTCATTCACTACTTCCCAGACAAAAAACAAAAGCCCTAAAAGCTCCAGTTTAAAAATTAAAATGTAATACTGTAAAATGAAACTAGATGTACTCACCCCTACAATTGAATTTGGATGCATCGTAGTGTCTTTCAGCACATCTGGAAGGAAAAGCACAGCTCTGAGCACCCAATATTCTTACAATAATCACTTATATTGTGTACGTACTCAAATATAACAAATACTTACAGATTATAAATTTTATAATGATTTTTATGCTTCGAATCTAGAAATCTGGAAAGAAAACAACAACATATGAGAAAGACTGAAATGACAGTATTTTCTTTTAGAGACCGTGATTAATTCTAACTTACGAAAACACTTTATTGTCAATGTCAAATATACAGTGGGATGAACTAAAAGAGATAGGACTTTTTTCCAACTGAACTTACCGAACCACATCATCTATGTTGTTTCTGTAGACTCCCTCCAACCTTTCGGCAGGGAAGCCCATGGCAATTATGTTGGGGTATATGTCTGATATGCTTGTTAAGGAAAATAAGGTGACTGTACAACACTTTACAAGACTTACAAGTTAAACTTATACTCGCAAGGAGTAGTTCACCCAAAAGTGACAAGAAAAAAACAAGATGACAATCAAAAAGACAAAAGACGTCAGACCGTAGGCACAGGAGTGTCACTTTCTACCTACGCAAGCCAGGTCAATCTGCTTTACAATCCTTACCTACACCAACCAGGTCAAAGGTCACCAAGCAGCCATTGCGCTCAAATGCAGCTCACACTTAATCATGCAGCTTTTTGACAAGGCAAGACAATGTCTCCTTACAGAGCCTCATTCTCATCCATTCTTTCGCTTCTCACTTCCCTTGCTCGCTGTGCATCTGCAGGCATTTCTACTGTACGCTCTCGCTACCATGATGTGTGCAGACTCTGGGGGAGGTTCACACCTCGACCACAGCACGGTGGAGAAAGAGGGAGAGAAGCAGGGCTTCTCTGTTCTGTTCATTTCCTGTCATACAGTGTCAGAATAGAAAGCCAGAAGCTTTTTAATTGGATGAGTCACGCTTATTTTTAGCACAATTCCTTTAAAACGGTTAGCGACTCATACATCATAACTACTGTTAAAGAAATCTAAAGCACTAAAATAGCTGGTGTTCAAATCTAACATACCCACGACAAACCATAATAGACCAGAAAAAAGAAAGGAAAAGGTGGGTGAATTGTATTGTACATGTACATGGTGAGTGGATTGTACATGGAAAGGAAAATGTCACCTCAATGACACCTGAAAATAAGACAATGGCGAAGAAAGCGTTTACAAGGATTCCCTTCCCGGGGCAATTGATGTCCTTCTGACAACAAATTCAATAATCAAACTTCTAGCAACCAACCTGATTGTCTAATCTGTAACTGCAACAGATTCCCATGTTTAACAAGCCTTGAAAACACTTTTAAAAAAGGCGAAATCCACAGCTTCCTCCATGTCAGAGAAGAATGATCAGGGCTCACATGCAGGACAAAAGTAGAGATGCACTGATAAGCTAATATTTTTTTTGTGTGTGTTATGGCAGATAACCGATCAAAATTCTATATCATTTTCTCCAAATACATTTTAAAACCACTCATTCAATCATTTAAAACCAAGCATTCATTGACATTCGATGACAATTTTCTTGTGCACATTTTATGTATATAAAAGATGGAACGTCAATGTAAATAAAATATACAATCAATCAAGGCACGTTCTTCACATGTAAGTAACGTGCACCACAGACAACAGAACAAGGTATCTGCATTGCATCCCTCTCTTTCATCAGCAGCTAAGCAATATCTCAAAGTCAGCCAAGCAATGTACACACAGTCACACTGATGGAGCCAGCGGTTTTAACATGTAAACCATTTCCACCCAGATTGCTAAAACACCCTCCACCCTTCTGAACATAACTGCATGAAAGTATACTGAAATGACACTTAAACCACACACATAGACTAAAAAAAAAATCTCAGAAATCAAGCAAAGGCAAAAGAAAGTAAAGCTGCGACTTTTGAAAACACAAATGTTAACATGAGCAACAGAGAATACGGTCATTTAAATAAATATGTCTGATGAAGAGACTGAGGCATTAAAAATCTGCAGCTGACAGCTTGTATGACATTTGACCTTTCCCAGCATGCCCAGTACGCCAGTGGTGTAGCTTTGCAAACCAGAGGTGAGATTTACTGCAGCAGGGGAAAAGGCAATGGTGGACAACCATGATCTGATCATCACAGAGCTTAATGACCAGCTGTCACCAGCAGGAGTTTCGACCATTTCGAAAACCCCCAGAAGTTAGGATTTACTGACCTCACTTACGAATCGGATAGATTACTCCTACACTTGTCATCTCATCCCATTTAAACATGCTTGTCTAAGACAACATTTACTGTCAAACACCTGACCTGCCACACTTCCTCAAATCTACAAGACTTAGCAGCAGTAATGTCGAACCGCTTGCTGGTGCAAAAACTGCACAAGAACAATCACATCTGCTTCATTCTCCGAATCGAGAAAGTTAGACAGACCTTACCTACATCCCCCTGCACTAATGGTGTTTGCACACAAGAGCCAGATTGTTAAAACAAAAGGCCAGATGAAAACGAGGAAGAGGTCTAAATGCTGAGAGCAAATGAATATCTATAATTCCTTCAATAGTCATGATGAGTTCACAATCAAAAGGGAATTTCCACCAAACTTCTGTTTTTCTGTGCATGTAAATGCGTACCAACAATAAAATATTCCTTTTGTTTTATGGATTAATATTACATCAATATCTAGGCCAAGCTGATTAATCAGCTGACATTTGGACATTTTGAGAGTCAGTTTAGTTATTTCAGATTCTAATTCAACTGAAAGCTTTGGCAATTGTTATTAAAATTCATTAAAACTGAAATGATTTGTGAGTTCATGAGTTGAGCGTTTTTCAATGCCTGATATCGGTCAACCACTATTATAGATATAATAAATAAAATGTTTATCTTTTGGACATCAGAGTCGTTACAATAATTTATCACTTGCCCACAGCATTTGGACTTGATGACAAAACAGGTTACATGCTGACCTGGACACATGACTGATTAATCACCTTTTTGATAGGCTAAAGATGTTTGATATTTTCTTGGACCTTCTATGGAGTCACAGGGCATCCTGGCCAACTCAACTTCTCTTCACATGCATGTCAGGAAACCAATTGATTCAAATATTTCTAAGAATAGCCAGGTTAGAACACACTCCACACTGCATTATCCATTAAGGTCACTGAATAGACCTCTCATTTTTGTACATGATCAATAGTACTGCCATTAGCTAGTAGAAGAAATCACGGATTTGTCAATACAAACCGATTTGTTCAATCTCTTCAGCAAACTGCTGTCATTGTTGTGCTAAGCTCATATAGACGCTGTCAAGCACACATTGATGTTCAACAAATTGACAGAGCATCTCATACTTTATGTAAAATTGGCAGTCTGGAAAGAGACTGTCTGCCATTACAGCCATGTAGCTGTCAAACCCGATATCTGCATCCTACAAGAGAGGTTAAAAAAATATATTTCATTATTAAGACAGTAAGAGCGTCATGACTAAGCATTTTAAAAAGGTTTTGCCTACCATATACAAAGACATTAAAAGAAGGAAGCCATGTTGGGAAAGCATACCATCATTCTCCCAAAGCCCTACCATTTACAAAATATGACACACATATACATATAACACAAAAGATATATAGAGTAGAAAGTAGCTCAGACAGTAAATATGAGTAAGGATACAAGTTAAGTCCAAATCGAACCCATCCTCTTGATATCGCCTCTTATTCCGACTGACTATTTCTTTAATTTTTGCAGTCATTGCCATGACAGCAGTTCAAAACACTTCAGTTTTATTCCGTTTTTTTGTTAGAAAGGGGGTTGTGTTTGCTCGGAATGGCTCTGCGTCTCTCTCACCCTTGCGTGTGTGTGTGTGTGTGTGTGTGTGTGTGTGTGTGTGTG